GAGGGCCTGCTCAGTGAGGTTACATGTTAGAGGGAGTGGGGTATAGTGACACAGTAACAGAGGGATTGAGGGCCTGCTCAGTGAGTTTACATGTTAGAGGGAGTGGGGTATAGTGACACAGTAACAGAGGGATTGAGGGCCTGCTCAGTGAGTTTACATGTTAGAGGGAGTGGGGTATAGTGACAGTAACAGAGGGATTGAGGGCCTGCTCAGTGAGTTTACATGTTAGAGGGAGTGGGGTATAGTGACACAGTAACAGAGGGATTGAGGGCCCTGCTCAGTGAGTTTACATGTTAGAGGGAGTGGGGTATAGTGACACAGTAACAGAGGGATTGAGGCCCTGCTCAGTGAGTTTACATGTTAGAGGGAGGGGGGGTATAGTGACACAGTAACAGAGGGATTGAGGGCCTGCTCAGTGAGTTTACATGTTAGAGGGAGTGGGGTATAGTGACACAGTAACAGAGGGATTGAGGGCACTGCTCAGTGAGTTTACATGTTAGAGGGAGTGGGGTATAGTGACACAGTAACAGAGGGATTGAGGGCCCTGCTCAGTGAGTTTACATGTTAGAGGGAGTGGGGTATAGTGACAGTAACAGAGGGATTGAGGGCCTGCTCAGTGAGTTTACATGTTAGAGGGAGTGGGGTATAGTGACACAGTAACAGAGGGATTGAGGCCCTGCTCAGTGAGTTTACATGTTAGAGGGAGTGGGGTATAGTGACACAGTAACAGAGGGATTGAGGGCCTGCTCAGTGAGTTTACATGTTAGAGGGAGTGGGGTATAGTGACACAGTAACAGAGGGATTGAGGCCCTGCTCAGTGAGTTTACATGTTAGAGGGAGTGGGGTATAGTGACAGTAACAGAGGGATTGAGGGCCCTGCTCAGTGAGTTTACATGTTAGAGGGAGTGGGGTATAGTGACACAGTAACAGAGGGATTGAGGGCCTGCTCAGTGAGTTTACATGTTAGAGGGAGTGGGGTATAGTGACACAGTAACAGAGGGATTGAGGGCCCTGCTCAGTGAGTTTACATGTTAGAGGGAGTGGGGTATAGTGACACAGTAACAGAGGGATTGAGGGCCCTGCTCAGTGAGTTTACATGTTAGAGGGAGTGGGGTATAGTGACACAGTAACAGAGGGATTGAGGGCCCTGCTCAGTGAGTTTACATGTTAGAGGGAGTGGGGTATAGTGACACAGTAACAGAGGGATTGAGGGCCTGCTCAGTGAGTTTACATGTTAGAGGGAGTGGGGTATAGTGACACAGTAACAGAGGGATTGAGGGCCCTGCTCAGTGAGTTTACATGTTAGAGGGAGTGGGGTATAGTGACACAGTAACAGAGGGATTGAGGGCCCTGCTCAGTGAGTTTACATGTTAGAGGGAGTGGGGTATAGTGACACAGTAACAGAGGGATTGAGGGCCCTGCTCAGTGAGTTTACATGTTAGAGGGAGTGGGGTATAGTGACACAGTAACAGAGGGATTGAGGGCCCTGCTCAGTGAGTTTACATGTTAGAGGGAGTGGGGTATAGTGACACAGTAACAGAGGGATTGAGGGCCTGCTCAGTGAGTTTACATGTTAGAGGGAGTGGGGTATAGTGACTCAATGTAAGGGTAGAATAGAAAGGTAGTATACATTGAGGGCTTAGTGTTTTGTTTTGATTACAATTTCAGGGGAGGAATCAGTGTGCGGGAAGAGAAAGCTGTTCGCAGTTTAGTTGATATGCATTCAAGTTTTCAAAGATTTTTTGAAGGAGTGGAGACTGGGTGAGAGTCTAACAGAGAGGGGAAGGGCAGTCCACAGGAACGGTGCAGCCCTAGAGAAGTCTTTAAGGTGAGCATCAGAGTTAGGAGTACGAAGAGAGGTTAGATGTAGGTCTCTGGCAGAACGTAGGGGCCTAGACGGGACATATTTGTGTATTAGTGAGGATAAGTAGGTGGGAGCAGCATTATGTAGGGACTTGTAATCAAGTGTCAGGATCTTAAATTGAGCCCTATTTCTTACGGGAAGCCAGTGTAGGGTCTGATAGAGGTGGGAGGTGCGGGTGGACAGGAAGATAAGCTTTGCCGCCGCTTTCATTATAGACTGTTATGGGACAAGTTGGGAACACGTAAAACCACTGAGAAGCGGATTGCAGTAGTAATGGTGAGAGAGGACAGCGGCATGGACAAGCACCTTTGCAGTATCAGGCGTTAAAGGAACACTATAGTCACCTAAATGACTTTAGCTAAATAAAGCAGTTTTAGTGTATAGATCATTCCCCTGCAATTTCACTGCTCAATTCACTGTCATTTAGGAGTTAAATCACTTTGTTTCTGTTTATGCAGCCCTAGCCACACCTCCCCTGGCTATGATTGACAGAGCCTGCATGAAAAAAAAACTGGTTTCCCTTTCAAACAGATGTAATTTACCTTAAATAATTGTATCTCAATCTCTAAATTGAACTTTAATCACATACAGGAGGCTCTTGCAGGGTCTAGCAAGCTATTAACATAGCAGGGGATAAGAAAATCTTAATTAAACAGAACTTGCAATAAAGAAAGCCTAAATAGGGCTCTCTTTACAGGAAATGTTTATGGAAGGCTGTGCAAGTCACATGCAGGGAGGTGTGACTAGGGTTCATAAACAAAGGGATTTAACTCCTAAATGGCAGAGGATTGAGCAGTGAGGCTGCAGGGGCATGTTCTATACACCGAAACTGCTTCATTAAGCTAAAGTTGTTCAGGTGACTATAGTGTGCCTTTAAGCTAAAACTGTTCAGGTGACTGTGTCCCTTTAAATAGTGTCGGATGCGCGTAATGTTTTTGAGATGGAAGCTTCAGGATTTGGTGATTGATTGGACATGAGGTGTGAAGGAGAGGTTGGAGTCAAAGAGAACACCTAGGCAGCGAGCCTGCGAGGTAGAGCGGATGGTATCGACTTGGAGGGACACAGACAAGGGACATTATCCTTTGGACAAGTAGATTTTTTTTAAAATGTATTTACATTTTTACACACCTGTTTTGTCAAGAATCTGGTTGGTGGCATTATACTTTTTATTATTTAATTTGCCGAAACAGGTCCTTTCATTCTTAGACTTAAAGGGACACTATAGTCTCTAGAACAACTACAGCTTGTTGTAGTCGTTTTGGTGAGTACAGACAGTCCCTGCAAGCATTTTCATGCAAACACTATCTTTTCAGAGAAATTACAGCCTAGGGATACCTCCACTGGCCACTCCTCAGATGGCTGCTAGAGGTGCTTCCTGGGGCAGTGCTGCACAGTGTGACTGACATTCAGTGTTTCCACCCTCTGCATGCAGCCACTGAACCCACGTCCTAGAGATGCATTGATTTAATACGTCTCTATGAGGAGATGCTGATTGGTCAAGTTGGAGTTTGACCCCGCCCCCACCCCACCTCCTTGGACTTCTCATCCAATCCAATGCTTTCCCTATGGTGGTGGTGATGTCAGCCAAAGAGGCAGATCTAAAGCGGGGTCAGCACTGGTGGACTTGCGCAGCGCCGGAAAAAAGGTTTTAACCCTTTCTAAGGGGGTCGGGGGGCAAGCCAACTAAATGGTGGGTTTTCACTATAGGGTCTGGAATACATGTTTGTCTGTGTTCCTTTAATATATGTCCAGTTGTTTTAAAGTGCGAGGATTTCACAAGACAGACAAGGTTATTTAAGGTTAAAATAGCCGAGCTGGAAACACTGCCTGAATCAGATCTGCTTTGCGTTTGGCTACTCTGGCCTTACATTTAAAATTCACTTTATATTCTGAGTTTAGTCAGTAAACCATAAGAGTTGGAATCTGTCCATAAGGCACAACATTTCGTCTGTGGTTTATTCATTTCACAGCGAGTTGCAGAGAACTAAAATCTGAACAAATTAGTGTTTTAATTAAACTTCTCACGCCAGGTCAGTGCTTCTCACGCCAGGTCAGTGCTTCTCACGCCAGGTCAGTGCTTCTCACGCCAGGTCAGTGCGTCTCACGCCAGGTCAGTGCTTCTCACGCCAGGTCAGTGCTTCTCACAGGGGGTTCATTCATTAAACATTGAATTAAAATCAACATTTTAATATTTTGCCTATTTTCGCCAAGATGTTGCATTTTGGATTTCAGTTCAGCTTATTAAATAAGTCCAACTCTGTAAATTATTATAATTAGCAAAATGTCCTATTCAATGCTATGGGGTTCACAAGTCGACTTGAGGAAAACTTGTTTAACTTTTTCACTGATTCTAAAAACTGTCCACTGAACCGTGACTCCTGCTCCATAAACCAAACGCGGGATCTTTTATTCTGTAAGACGATTACGTGACGGTGTTCGAACAATAAGTATTTATCATTTACAAAGCCGCTTTCCGGGGAGCATTGAATCGCGGAGGACAACTTGCTTTGTGGCCCGTTGTGTCCTCTGTATACACCGCGGACGGACACCGTGCTTTATTTTCTGCAAAGCTCTTGCGTGTCCTTTCTATCATGCCTGTCCTCAATGATATGTTGATCTCTGATTTTCCAGGGCTCAGCGGGACAGACCGTGCTCTAATTTTCTTTTAGCTCCCCCCTTTTAATCCTGCTGTAGTTTCTTTAAATGGACCTGCTTTAGAAAACGCAGGCTCAGAATAATATAAGTATCCAGGTTAGTGGGTCTCACTTGGCCTTAAACAGAAAGGATCTCTTTCTACCTGCTCGCCTGGCACGGCAAGACAGAAAAGAAAATAATTATTCATTGTTTTTCCTTGTTCCTCCCTTGCCCGAGGCGTCCTGTACCTGCGTCATCGCAAGCTATACTGTTACAGTAACTGCAGATATTCGCGGGCCTCCTGTAGCGCTAGTCTTGTAGAGTCGTTGGCGTTTTATTTATCTAGATTTAAACACATTGTGTGAAAAGGGGCTTTATTCGTTAATGGTAGCAAATAAATTTAGATTCCTGTTTTGACAAGTTTCTCTATGTGTCCCCTGTACGTCTTCTTACTGCAGTAGGATTTCAGAGAAGCAGATTATCTCTGCGTGACTCCTACAGCATGGGGGGGATCAGTGATCTGGGACTTGGTGTCAGGTCAGAACAGGCGAGTGTAAGCTCTGTGTGGCATTATAAGAAATAGAACCTTCGCCAAAGGGACCGCTTTCTAGCTGGAACAGGGGAACGGATTGGGGAACTAGCTCTCTGTGCTCCCAGGGGCTGGACGGCACTCAGTCCTGGGAGCTGCTCCGTCAAGACCTAGTTATGGAGGTTAAAACACTGACTGCCAATCTTTATTTGGAACACACCGCTTTTATGCACAGACCCCCACAGGGGGCTCTCCACTCAGTACAACACAATCCCAGGCAGAAGTGGGCTGGGTTACAGATAGCCATCTCCTGCTCTGGGAGATACCAACAGCACATACAGGTACACACGTTAAAACACGTAAACTACTCAAAAGTACATTTTCAATTTCAAAAGGGGTTCATTGGATTTCATGGATTGTCCAAGCTTCCAACCCCAATCCCTCTTTGAAGCTTGGACTCTGTAGGGTGTGGGAAGTCACACTGACGTGTCCTGGAAGTCTTTTGATATGGTAATGATCAAGCATTCTAGAAACAGGAAACCTTTGATACAATACCATATCCAAAAGAGACATTTGCTTAACCCAATTACCCCACAGGCACTAGAGTTGCAGATCATAAAACATAAACTATTTAAATATACACCCCAATCATATAGGAAGCCAAAAAATAAACCAGGGAAATCACACGAAATGCATAACCAATACAACACAGAATGCAAGGGGAAAACACACAATACAATGGAAAAACACACAATACAATGGAAAAACACACAAATAAGCAGTGGGCATGGTACGTAGTAACGGTGGTTTGTCACAGAACCCCCTACCCCTGCCCCATCAACATGAGTCCCACTCAAACTAGATTGGGGTGAGTTCAGTGAGGGCGCTCAAGTTATCCCAGGTTCCTGAATTTTGCTATGAAGTTAGACATACCTCCCCGATCCTTGTCAAAGATGCAACGATAATTGGTTATTATGAGCCATTCTGTAGGAATCTACGTCCTCGCCCTGGTATGCAGATTCTGTACTTGTTGTCATAACTCCAGAAAGCATTGTGCGTCTCGTTTCATTTTACTCCAGAATTGCCTTGTTGCGGGGTTCGAAGACTTTTGCCTTGTAAAGTGCCCTGCTTATAAACCAGTAACACCCTGCAGTGTATGTTATCCCTCTAAACTATGGGTGGGCAACATTTGCCACTCCAGGTGTTGCGGACTACAAACCCCATAATACTCTTACACCCATAATGCTGGCAAAGCATTATGGGAGGTGTAGTCCAAAACATGTCCAAAACATATGGGGTGCTGAGGGTGCCTATGTGTGCTCTAAACTATCGGGTGGGGGGCAACATTATCTCTCATAATGCTCTTGCATCCCTAAAGCTGGCAAGCGTCTTGGAAGATGTAGTCCATAACATCTGGTGTGCCCAAGGTTGCCCACCACAGATCTAAACCATCTAAAAATCCAATACAAAGTGAATAACCCTTTTGCCCAGCTGATGATGCAGTGAGTAGCCTGCCCTCACTGTCTGCTGCTAACGAGGCATGGAACTGCAGCCATTTGTAAAAATTGGATGGATCTATAACCTCCTGATTGGTGGAGCCTCTTCCTGGTGAGGGAAGGAACTGCCTGTAACTGCAAAATCTCTCCTAAACTGTGCAACGTCCGTGTGTTACACGGTTAGGCTTCTTTTATTTTATTCCATGCGTAATTGTTTATTAGTGAATTGTCTAAATAAGAATTTATGAACAGGATTATTTTTATTTCCCATATTATTATTATTATTATTATTATTATTATTATTTTCTTTTTATGATCCAATCTAAATGGGAAAACATACCATTTATATCATATAAAGTTTAACATTTCTTATAATAGATCAATATACCTTTCCTGGCATTAGATGAAACTAGAGACAGGAAACGTGCACATTGTATCACCTTCAGCTGTCTCTGCAAAGCTGCTATGGGATTGGCTGAGCCTCGGAGTAAGTGACTCTTCAATGAGAGAATCCTAATGAAAGTACTGTTACCTTGTCTGTCTCTCTCAGATACTCTCATCATGGAAGCCAGTCAGTGCCTTGCCGTCTCCAGCATCCTTGGCCCCAAGCCGAGCCCTGCAATCGTCAGCACCTTTACTACTACAGGACCAGAGTTTCCACGAAAACGGAAAATTAGTGAATCCGAGAGTCAGTAAGTACTCCGAACCTTTTAAACGTATTTTACCCTAAATTGGCTGAAATAAAAACAAACCAACTGAGTGAATGGGCGATGCAATGATAGTATGGGGATACGGCCAGTCCTGCAAGGAACACAAATGTTATACAATAGTGTCATGCCCAAAGGCAATACCAAACAAATACATTACATGTCACGGTCAGAATAGAAAGCTCTGCATAAATCTGGATTCTCGGGTCTCCGCAAACGGGTCTCCCAGTATATATATATATAAAACTGACAGGGTAACTGTGCAGGAAAGGACAATGTGTGAAAGCCAGAACATATTTATTTTCTGCATGCAGTGGGTTTTAAAAATTAAATGGATTATAATCCAGACAAAATGATCACGAGGCCTACAATCCCTGTGTGCATCTTCCAGCTAAATGATCGCGATATAAAGAATCCATACTGCAGGGCTCGTGTTCCCCGCTCTGTGCATTGCTGATACAATGTCTGGCTATAGGGAGAGTTCAGCGTTACTGTGGCGGACCGCCACAGACTCCCTTCCCCAATGTGAAGTAGCTCTATCAAACAGTGAAAGTGAATATAGCTTTCCCCCCATACATTAGTCGAGACTGAATGCTGGGAGTAGATCTGTTTATTTCAGGCAAGCACTCTCAATTTATACACAGACCCCCAGCAGGGGGTCTCCACAGTAAACTCCTTCCTGTGCCTGAGAGAGAATTGAGTCAGGAAACTTACAACTCAATTATCTACCAGGTACAAAAAATATATAACAAGTTTAAAACACCCCAAAATACATGGAAACCCCTCAAGAGATCGCCCTGATCTGAGTGCTTAACATATACAAAAGATCAGATCGGTTTGGTGGTTTGGAATTTTCATCGAGGTACAGTTTTGACCAGCCACGAGGTAGAAGCCCAGAATAGTTCCAAAGAAATTGAGGGGTCGGTCTCAGTTTGAAGGTTTCTATACGAAAACCAAACAAGATATCCGAATGCTCCATCCAGTCAGTAGTTCATATCTTTTGAACGCGTACAGGTGGTTGGGTACTTGAACTGGCAGCAGTTACATCTTCACTGGTGTTCGCGGGAGTGCCTAACTGAAATTAGTTCCAGGCCCTTGATGACCAGGTACCGCTACCTGTGTTTGGGAGATAAAATGACCGTCATCCATTCTGTCGACCACGTTCGTTCGGTTACATGAAATGGCGGCCACCCAGGGGAGCATTTTATTAATAGTTTCCACTGAGGTTTCACACTGGATACTTTGTATTCCACGTTCTAATGAGATGTTGGTGTGGTCCTCGTTCGGGAAATGAACAAGGTGAGTTTGAACGAGCAAACGAACAGGAAAAAAATTAATATTACCGGACCAAGTGATGGGGCATTCCTTCACAGTTACTTTCAGGTTACTTTTATTTTTTGTACTTTTGATGGAATCTCATAACTTGGCTAACATGCTTTTATTTCTTTACTTCCTCCCAAACAGAACCAGAGAAAGCGCAGATGGTAACGACATCCAGGGCAGGTAAGTTGATGGTCCATCATTATGGTATCTGGTCAGGGGGCTTGTCCTGAAATCAGTGGGGTCCAGACCCAATGACTAATGGGAACTCTCCTCCTGGCGCAACGCAGTAACTCCAGGTTTTAACATGGAGAAAACAATTGACGAATTGGATTCTTTGATATTTTAAATGCTTTTTTTCCGGCTCTATTTGCTGGTAATATTCCTACGCATGCCCCTCCTTTCTGCTGACTTTTCCTCTTCCTGTATTCATAATGAAATGGGTACCTGGAGGTGTGGAATTTCACGCTAACTATGTTACACTGCGAGATGATCTCCACCAATCAGACGTGGACTCTGAAACGTCCTCTGATGATGAAAGGGGTTATTTGGAGGAATGTGGCATGTTTTCAGGGATTGTGGAGAATTGGTAAGGATCGGCTGATCTTGGTATGGGGAATTAGTTTGAGAAATTTTTCAGTTTGGAGATTTTGGATTTTCACTGTGATTACTTTTAATCTAACGAAAAATGACACAATCCAGTTGACAAATCACGTGTTTTATTAGCCCATGCTGCTGCAGGAGACCTCCTTATAGCGCCACCTGCTCTCATCCCAGTTATCAGTCCTGCGCATATCATGCAAGATTAATCTGCTTTCCGCACACAAAGACAATTAGTTATTAAAAAAAAAAGTCATGTGGGGATATAAGAGCTTATGGTATGTGTCTCTGTACTATTGAATGACCCCACAGGATGCCATCCAGATATTGCTCTTTTAATTGCGTGTTCCTTTTCTGAGCTTTTATCATGAGATCCAATTTTCTCTCTTATTGGTGTCTTGTAGAGAGGCTCACAGCCAGACGGAGAAACGAAGGCGAGATAAAATGAACACGTTAATCGAGGAACTGTCTGCTATGATCCCACAATGCGACCCCCTGCCACGTAAGCTCGACAAGCTGACCGTGTTACGTATGGCCGTACAGCACTTAAAGGCGTTGAAGGGTAGGTGTGCCCACTCACTATTTATAGGCTTCATGTGAACCAGTCCCTGTCATAGTCTGTCTGATGGCAGCTAATGATGAAGATATGTTAACTTCCTGCATTGTCTGGGACTGTGACAACCTGCAAAAAAACTAAATGATGAAAAAAAACACAGACAGGAACATTATAGTCACCAAAACATCTTTAGCTTAATGAAGTAGTTTTGGTGTATTGGTCATGCACCTACAGTCTCGCCATTCAATTCTCTGCCATTTAGGAGTTAAATCACTTTGTTTCTCTTCATACAACTCTAGTCACACCTCCCTGTAAGTAATGTGCACAGCCTTCCTTAATACGTACTGTAAAGAGTCATCTAATGTTTATACTAACTTTATTGCACATTCTGTTTAATTTAGAATTTCTTATCTCCTGCTCTATTAATAACTATCTAATAAACTCTGCAGGGCCTTTATCCCTTTACAAAGCTAGGCGGTAATTCTGATCTTTGTCTTTACAGGCTCCGGAATATCCTTTTCTGAAGAGAGTTACAAACCTTCATTTTTACAGCATGACGAGCTGCGCCGATTGATCCTCCGGGTGAGGAAATATCTCAAATTATACCTGCCTGGTGTTGAAAAAGTTCTGTGTCCAGAAAGGACCGATTCTGTTATATAAACTGTAACGCTAGACATTAAAAAGGACGTGGAAAATGTATTCTCTTCAGACAGGAAGTAAGGGTTCCATTCTCTGTCAGGAAGTAAGGGTTCCATTCTCTGTCAGGAAGTAAGGATTCCACTCTCTGTCAGGAAGTAAGGATTCCACTCTCTGTCAGGAAGTAAGGATTCCACTCTCTGTCTGGAAGTAAGGATTCCACTCTCTGACAGGAAGTAAGGATTCCATTCTCTGATAGGAAGTAAGGATTCTATTCTGTCAGGAAGTAAGGATTCCACTCTCTTACAGGGAGTAAGAATTCCATTCTCTGACAGGAATTAGAGTTTTTTTATATTCTCACACAGGAAGAATGGATTCTGTTCTTCAAGCAGGGAAACTGGGCTTCATGTACAGGAAGCAGGGATTCCCGTCTCCTCGTACAGGAAGCAGGGATTCCCGTCTCCTCGTACAGGAAGCAGGGATTCCCGTCTCCTCGTACAGGAACAAAGGATTCCCGTCTCCTCGTACAGGAACAAAGGATTCCAGGAATTTAAGACTGCATTGATTAGCAGCAAGTTACACGCATTTTACAATTTCATATTGTGCCAGAAATATAATTTATATCCGAATTAAACAGGCCTGGGGTGACTTTTAAATAAAGCATGGCGTGTACACTAACATAACTTTGTGTCCATAGGCCCAATTAAAGATGGTCCCATATAATTATTATTTATTTTAGTTTCCTTTACTGATCAGCATTGCGGTCTGCATGGTGCTTGACGTTTTCCTCTTCTGATGGTTTTATAGGCGGCTGATGGCTTCCTCTTTGTGGTTGGATGTGACCGAGGAAAAATCATGTTTGTGTCGGAATCGGTGTCTAAGACCCTGAAATACAGCCAGGTGAGTGTCACAAACACCAGGACCGGGGGATTCCTGCTGATCAGGGACTGGCATCGTTTTAAGGGGAACAAAATAAAGTAGCAGGAGTTGTTTAAAGAAATAAAAAATACATTTAATTTAAGTCAGACAGAGAACAAAGAATGAGCAGCACAAAGTCCAACGAATCTTTAATCACTTTAGTCCTTTTCTTTTTTTCTTAAAATAATTAATATCAGGTTTTTTACATCCCACTTTTTTTGGTTTGGTTTTTGGAAATCAGGGAATTAGTTTGGATTCTACTGATTGCTTCCCCAGAATTCTCTTTATTCGTCCAGTTCGTTGAATCTGCTGTCAGATAACGTTTATTTTCTGTTTGTCGCTAGTCTGGTTAACTTGTTAAGTTTGTATTCATGTTTTCTCTAGATTCTTTGTTATATAACACAAGTAATCCCCAATTGTTAGGAAGTGTCATTACGTCCTACAAAGCATGGGCGATGAGGACGTTGGGATGTATTGACATGTCCTAACGTTCTGGTTAAATCCCTGTTCTCACCAGGGAGACTCCATTCTCTGTCAGGAAGTAAGGATTCCATTCTCTGTCAGGAAGTAAGGATTCCATTCTCTGTCAGGAAGTAAAGATTCCATTTTCTGTCAGGAAGTAAGGGTTCCACTCTCTGTCAGGAAGTAAGGGTTCCACTCTCTGTCAGGAAGTAAGGGTTCCACTCTCTGTCAGGAAGTAAGGGTTCCACTCTCTGTCAGGAAGTAAGGGTTCCATTCTCTGTCAGGAAGTACGGGTTCCACTCTCTGTCAGGAAGTAAGGGTTCCACTCTCTGTCAGGAAGTAAGGGTTCCACTCTCTGTCAGGAAGTAAGGGTTCCATTCTCTGTCAGGAAGTAAGGGTTCCATTCTCTGTCAGGAAGTAAGGGTTCCACTCTCTGTCAGGAAGTAAGGGTTCCACTCTCTGTCAGGAAGTAAGGGTTCCACTCTCTGTCAGGAAGTAAGGGTTCCACTCTCTGTCAGGAAGTAAGGGTTCCACTCTCTGTCAGGAAGTAAAGGTTCCACTCTCTGTCCGGAAGTAAGGGTTCCACTCTCTGTCCGGAAGTAAGGGTTCCACTCTCTGTCAGGAAGTAAGGGTTCCACTCTCTGTCAGGAAGTAAGGGTTCCACTCTCTGTCAGGAAGTAAGGGTTCCACTCTCTGTCAGGAAGTAAGGGTTCCATTCTGTGTCAGGAAGTAAGGGTTCCATTCTCTGTCAGGAAGTAAGGGTTCCATTCTCTGTCAGGAAGTAAGGGTTCCATTCTCTGTCAGGAAGTAAGGGTTCCACTCTCTGTCAGGAAGTAAGGGTTCCACTCTCTGTCAGGAAGTAAGGGTTCCATTCTCTGTCAGGAAGTAAGGGTTCCATTCTCTGTCAGGAAGTAAGGGTTCCACTCTCTGTCGGGAAGTAAGGGTTCCACTCTCTGTCGGGAAGTAAGGGTTCCATTCTCTGTCGGGAAGTAAGGGTTCCACTCTGTCGGGAAGTAAGGGTTCCATTCTCTGTCTCTAGATTCTTTTTTATATAACACAAGTAATCCCCAATTGTTAGGAAGTGTCATTATGTCCTACAAAGCATGGGCGATGAGGACGTTGGGATGTATTGACATGTCCTAACGTTCTGGTTAAATCCCTGTTCACACCAGGGAGACTCCTTTCTTAGCGGCCTCATGCTGCCTGCTGAGCTCTGAATATACCCGTTAAATCCACTGACGTCATCATAGCTTAACGATTACACTCAGCCGCAGCGATTGTACGGCTGCATGCTGCTCAGAGGAGACCCCCTGAATCTGAATAAGCTCTGACAGGGTCTCCCTGCATGCCCTTATGTTGGTTGGGATTGGGATTGGTGCTTGGCTTTGCCAGCTGCCCAGCGATGATCACAGTGTAATTGGCAAACTAGAATTTCAGAATTAAAGGGATCTCCCTGTAATGCTGAAAACAGACAGTAGATGGCGACCACGGACCCCTCTCTGCAGTTTTAACTGGGAAATCCATCTACTGGGTTAGTTGTGGGGTAAGGTAAGGGTTATTGCTGTTATAGGGTTAGGAATCGTGAAGTATTAAGGTAAGGGAGGTATTTGGTTAACGTTAGTATAGTGGGGTGGTGGGTGGGTTGGTATACGGTTAGCGTTAACTATCAAAGATCCTAGACACATGGGGCGTTTATCATGACTGATGCATCAATCCATTCTGAGTTCTTTTTATGTAGTTGCACTGGATGAGATAATTTTAAGCAAAAACATTTATTTTATTCACACTGCAGGATATTACAGGAAAGCCCTTTCTATCCTTTAAATAACAATATATATATATGTGTATAACATTTTATATAATTTCAAGTGAAATTAACACATTGCTCCAATTCTAGGTTTTGATTTGATTCCTTAACGGGTTAATTTAATATGAAAGTCTCTCTCCATAAACTGAGCCCGAAGGGAAACTGCTGGGCTTTCATTAGATTCTGCTCTGTCCTCATATTTTCCAGAAGGACAGAGATTTCCTGTTCTGGGCTGAAACAAACATAGATTTTTGGAAGTGGTTGATCTGTTCTAAATACAACTCCCTAATGCCATATACCCGTCTCTTCCTGTCAGGCGGATTTCATTGGCCAAAGCTTGTTTGATTACCTGCACCCCAAAGATGTCGCCAAAGTAAAAGAGCAACTTTCATCGTCCGATGTGACCCCGCGGGAGAAACTGATTGATGCCAAAAGTAAGAAACTGCACGTTAAACAAATAGCCATCCCTGCAACTTTACTCATTGCTGATTTGTATTTCTTATGTTTTATTTATTTTTAATGGTTTTATTTTTTTACATGGCCAGCTGTATATTTATTGGCGTTATTTATTAATTTATTTATTAATATATATTTATATACACTGATCTGATCATCCACAACATTAAAACCACTGACAGGTGAAGGGAATAATGTTGATTGTATTGTTAGAATAGCACCTGTCAAGGGGTGGCACATATTAGGCAGCACAAATTTCATGTTATGAATACAGGAGAAACGGGCAAGCGAAAAGATCTGAGCGACTTTGACAAGGGCCAAATAGTGATAGCTAGACGATGACTGAGTCAGAGTATCTCCAAAACGGCAGGTCTTGTGAGGAGTTCCTGGTATGCAGGGGTTAGAACCTAACAAAAGTGGTGCAAGGAAGAACAATAGTCGCCAATCGATGCTTCCTAGTGCTCACCAAGTACTCCAAGCACTCCACCAGACACCATAACCACCGTAAACCCCGTAGCCAGCATTACAGCTGTCCTCCACCCACCCTGGACCCAAGTTCAGGACCCAGCTTCCAGTGGGCAGACCTCTCCCAGTCCAGAGAGTAAAGCAGGATAGCTCTTACACGAGCTAGTGATTATAATCCAAAGGAGTATAATGAGTATAGCAATCCCCAGAGTGAATATAACTGTTCCCTCCACACATGAGACGAGGCTCTATGTTGAGGGTGTAGAGGAACTGATTTATTGGCAGCCACAACTGGCCTTATATGCAAGTCCCCATGCAAGGGGTTTCCGGATACATAGAAACATAGAATGTGACGGCAGATAAGAACCATTCGGCCCATCTAGTCTGCCCAATTTTCTAAATACTTTCATTAGTCCCTGGCCTTATCTTATAGTTAGCATAGCCTTATGCCTATCCCACGCATGCTTAAACTCCTTTACTGTGTTAACCTCTACCACTTCAGCTGGAAGGCTATTCCATGCATCCACTACCCTCTCAGTAAAGTAATACTTCCTGATATTATTCTTAAACCTTTGCCCTTCTAAATTAAGACTATGTCCTCTTGCTGTGGTAGTTTTTCTTCTTTTAAATATAGTCTCCTCCTTTACTGTGTTGATTCCCTTTATATATTTAAATGTTTCTATCATATCCCCCCTGTCTCGTCTTTCCTCCAAGCTATACATGTTAAGATCCTTTAACCTTTCCTGGTAAGTTTTATCCCGCAATCCATGAACCAGTTTAGTAGCCCTTCTCTGAACTCTCTAAGGTATCAATATCCTTCTGAAGATACGGTCTCCAGTACTGTGTACAATACTCCAAGTGAGGTCTCACCAGTGTTCTGTACAATGGCATGAGCACTTCCCTCTTTCTACTGCTAATACCTCTCCCTATACAACCAAGCATTCTGCTAGCATTTCCTGCTGCTCTATTACATTGTCTGCCTACCTTTAAGTCATCAGAAATAATCACCCCTAAATCCCTTTCCTCAGATGTTGAGGTTAGGACTCTATCAAATATTCTGTACTCTGCCCTTGGGGTTTTACATCCAGGATGCATTATCTTGCACTTATCCACATTACATGTCAGTTGTTACAACAACAAATTTTTCGAGTTTACCTAAATCATTTTCATATTCCAGGGGCATTCCCCACTGGACCTGAGAGGGGACTGTGACAAAGTACACACTGTAATTACATTGGCTCTTAGGTCCAGGACACTCACACACAAACAAGGTAATCCCTCTCCTGTGCCTGAGAGATAATTGAGTCAGAAACTGTACTAAACTCCATTATCTCCAGGCACAGAAAACTTACATTTTAACAACATCCCGAAAGTACCCCCAAAACACACGGAAACCCCACAAAAGTCGTATCCCCTGATAGCCCCGATCTGGGGGACCAACATATCCAAAAATCACCCAGATCAGTTAAGGGGTTCGGGATTTCCATGGAAGTCATAATTTTGACCGACCGTGCACATGGTCCTTTGCCCAAAACAGTTCCAGGGAGTCAGGGCTAACCGTCGGTCTCTCTTTCTGGAGTACAAAAGTGCATAAATTGTATGAATGGAGCCTTTTAAAGTGCATTGGGCAAGGTATATTGCAGGGCCCATAGTCCTGAGGCAGGAGGCTGGCAAGCAGGCCCCTCCAAGAACCCGTGATGACGTTTAGTTAGTCACAGTTGCCTAATGCTCTTGTCTTGGTGTCAGATACCACATTCAGAGGTCAAGTGGAGTCCATGTCTTGACCTATCAGAGCTGTTTTGCTAGCCCAAGGATGCAGGTTTTAATCTTGTTGCTGATCAGTTTGTGTATATAATTCTTAGGGGATGCTGTCTGATCGTAAAAAGTGTTAACCCTTCCACTACCAGACTGCTTTAATCTTAAGTCCCTGTGGCAGAGAAAGGGTTACAGACCTTGACAAGCAACCCCCTTACTGTATGAAACGTGTGTGTTTCCTCATTGATCCAGATTCGATCTTTAGAACTGACACAGTCTTATTACAATGTTTTGAAAGCTGGTTTGCAAGTACACACGCATTTTCAGGCCGGGCCCTCCCGTCTCCACTGGGGTTCTCGGCGGTCCTTCTTCTGCCGTATGAAGTGTGGTAGAGTCTCCGGCAAAGAAGAGGAGAACTTTTTATCCAATCCAAAGAAAAAAGGTAACTACTTCTGTTGAGTTTTTAACAGCCTGGTTTTATCTCCCACTCATAGGGCGATTGTGATTCTTTTTTTCTCACCACCTCCCACCCACCCAGGTTCCCCCTAAATATATTGCATTCTGTTTGAGATTCTCACTCAATTACCTCTTCATTCTCTTTACATCTCACCAATAGCTGCTTCTCTCTGTTTAGCCATCTTTTAACCATCACCTTTAAATGTCCCCTGCTACCTTTGTCTCAAATCTCCATGGTATCCTTTAGATTGTAAGCTCAAAGGCCATCTAGCTAAGCACTTTGTATAAAAGAGCTTCAATGGCTAGTTACCCGCTTACAGTGAGAAAAAAAGCGTGACGCGTTACTGTTATATTTTCTCTCCGTTGACGTTGCTTTGTGTCTCTTTCCTCTGTCAGATCACAGAAGATATTGTACCATTCACTGCACAGGTTATTTAAGAAACTGTCTCCTGAGTGAAGTGGGACTTAAAGAAGACTGTGACCGAGACAGAGAATCTCCCAATCTCAGCTGCCTCGTCGCAATTGGGAGAGCCCAGCCGTACGTGTCTCTGCCGCGAGCAGCCGAAATCCGAGTGAAACCCGCCGAGTTTGTTACTCGTTATACCGTGGAGGGTAAATTTGTTTATGTGGATCAACGGTGAGAAATAGGATTGTTCATAACATAAACAAATTTCAAGTGACCATGCAACGGGCATTCACTGAATGAGAAACGTACGGTTTAGATTTTAATCTTAAAATGAAATAATTGCATTTTTTTGAGTACTTTTTATACAACAGCATCTAGAGTTGGTTTCTGGGGCTGCAATCTCTTTTTCCCACTTTCCCACAATGACCTTGTAATCTTATTTTTTTCCCTCCATGTTTGGATGAAACTTAATATTATTTATGTTCAATATCCTTTGAAACCTGACCCCAGCTGGAAAATTGTTTTATATTATTAAAAAGAATAAATAAAAAACAGGTTATTTACCCACTGCAGGTTTCAATTATATGATCAATATCTGAGTGAAATCACATTATAAACTATTGCAACCAAAATCTACCGAACGCAATGAGTTAAACACAAGTCATACATTGTACTTTCTGGATATGTCCGCTATTCTTTTAGAAATTGGCAAAGGAATGTATTCCATCTGCTTAGAGAATTATTGGTTTAAAACGCCCAGAAATAAATACTTTAACAAACTCTGCAAAGAGGACGTGAAGAAGTATCGGTGCCCATTAGCACACTGAGCCCTTGATGCCATTCCTAACAGGTTTACACATTCTCCAGGCAATGCTGTAGGATTAACTAGAATATTTTATAGTGCTTGTAGTACTGTACACACCGTGTATATTTCACACGAGAATATTCGAATTGTTGTCTAGTGCTGATACTTTGTTAGAATTCTGATGTTGCAGCTTCACATATCCCGATTTTGTCTTTCTTCCAGAGCGACAGCAATTCTTGGGTACCTTCCTCAGGAGCTTCTTGGGACGTCCTGCTACGAGTACTTTCACCAGGATGATCACGGACACCTAACGGACCAGCATAAAAGAGGTAGGTATCGTCTTATCGAGTTATGGGGTTAGCTCTTTGGGCCGATGTGGGACGTTTCGTGGACCAGTAGTAGCCATGTGTATATATTTCTACATCATAGCTTGGATGAAATATAATGTAACTTTAGTAGATTTGTTACTTTGCTTTGTTATCTGCATATGTGACATGTAAGTGTTAATATTGATGTTCTAAAGAAATATAGAAAAGGTCGGAGTTGGATTTTAATCTCTCACCGTGTCTGTTCCTTAACTCAGTGCTTCAAAGCAAGGAAAAGATTATGACAAATTCCTACAAGTTTAAGGCGAAAGACGGATCCTTTATCACGCTCAGGAGCCAGTGGTTCAGTTTCATTAATCCATGGACGAAAGAACTCGAATACATCGTATCCGTGAACACAGTAGTTTCGTAAGTGACGTATTGTTACCTGTCTGCGATTTTACTAAATGTTTCTCAAACGTGAAGTAATTTAATAGGTTAATAAGACTCAGTTGCTGTTAATTAGATGTTGTCAGTCATAAAATACATCCTTATTATACACCATGGATTGTTTAATTACCTGGCTGACAAATATACCAAATGTTAAATAAAAAAACTTTAAAAGTGTTGGGATCATTAAAAGTAGAACAAATTCCTTTATATATATATATATTATTTTTATTTTTTTGCTACTTATTGCTGTGATTTTTGTATAAATGATTTAATATTCTTGTATATAATGGTAATATGTTAATATTTTGTTATTTTCTTATTAACTTTTTTTTGATATGTGCAATTTTTTAAATTTTTTTAACTTTTTATCCAAAAATCTTATATTGGGTCAAGTATTGGAACGTTGTTTTGTTTTAAAATTTTGATAGTCTCTTTTTATTCCACCCCTTTCCAGGGGCCATTGTTCACATCTAGAAACCGCATCTCTTCCAGACAGCACTCACTCCTCAGAAGGTATGATGGTACAATTAAAGCATAATATCTGAGTTTCATCTATTATTATTGGGAGTTCTTGGTTTTAAAGCATAATGTGTGTACTTCTCTGCTCGTTCCTGTTCTGAGTTTTCGGTGGTGTTGCACCTGTTATCCCTGACTTATGTCGCTTGCAGGAAGTCCATCCTATAATGTGTGTTGGGGGACAGTGTTTGTAAATAAGATCGTTAACCAGCAGTAAGCTGAGATCTGAGCTTTTTTTTTTGTCTTCAGATACTACCAAGCGTACCTTTATGAATGTGCCAGGGGTGGCGACTGGAACCATGCCTGGGGCTGCCAGTATTGGACGAAAGATCGCTGAGCAAATACTAGACAGACAGAGGTAATAAGTTTAGGATCCTCTATAGAGTGGACGTGCAGATTGACTAGTTACTGGTATTTGACGCTGTCTGTGCTGGGTAATAGTAATGCCGCCAGCGCCAGGTGACCATAACAATGTCAGTGCTGGGTAATAGTAACGCAGGCAGTATTGAGTAAAAATTTTTTTATGGCACTGGGTAACAGTGATACTATCAGTACTGGGTAACAATGATACTATCAGTGCTGGGTAACAGTGATACTATGAGTATTGGGTAACAGTGATACTATGAGTATTGGGTAACAGTGATACTATGAGTATTGGGTAACAGTGACTCAGTCAGTGCTGGGTAACAGTGACTCAGTCAGTGCTGGGTAACAGTGACTCAGTCAGTGCTGGGTAACAGTGACTCAGTCAGTGCTGGGTAACAGTGACGCAGTCAGTGCTGGGTAACAGTGACGCAGTCAGTGCTGGGTAACAGTGACGCAGTCAGTGCTGGGTAACAGTGGCTCAGTCGGTGCTGGGTAACAGTGACGCAGTCGGTGCTGGGTAACAGTGACGCAGTCGGTGCTGGGTAACAGTGACGCAGTCGGTGCTGGGTAACAGTGACGCAGTCGGTGCTGGGTAACAGTGACGCAGTCGGTGCTGGGTAACAGTGACGCAGTCGGTGCTGGGTAACAGTGACGCAGTCGGTGCTGGGTAACAGTGACGCAGTCGGTGCTGGGTAACAGTGACGCAGTCGGTGCTGGGTAACAGTGACGCAGTCAGTACTGGGTAACAATGATACTATCAGTGCTGGGTAACAGTGATACTATGAGTATTGGGTAACAGTGATACTATGAGTATTGGGTAACAGTGATACTATGAGTATTGGGTAACAGTGACTCAGTCAGTGCTGGGTAACAGTGACTCAGTCAGTGCTGGGTAACAGTGACTCAGTCAGTGCTGGGTAACAGTGACGCAGTCGGTGCTGGGTAACAGTGACGCAGTCAGTGCTGGGTAACAGTGACGCAGTCAGTGCTGGGTAACAGTGACGCAGTCGGTGCTGGGTAACAGTGACGCAGTCGGTGCTGGGTAACAGTGACGCAGTCGGTGCTGGGTAACAGTGACGCAGTCGGTGCTGGGTAACAGTGACGCAGTCGGTGCTGGGTAACAGTGACGCAGTCGGTGCTGGGTAACAGTGACGCAGGGTAACAGTGTGGTGCTGGGTAACAGTGAACAGTGAGTCAGTCGTGCTGGGTAACAGTGACGCAGTCGTGCTGCAGTGACGCAGTCGTGCTGGGTAACAGTGACGCAGTCAGTGCTGGGTAACAGTGGCTCAGTCGGTGCTGGGTAACAGTGACTCAGTCGGTGCTGGGTAACAGTGACGCAGTCGGTGCTGGGTGACGCAGTCGGTGCTGGGTAACAGTGAGTCGGTGCTGGGTAACAGTCGCAGTCGGTGCTGGGTAACAGTGACGCAGTCGGTGCTGGGTAACAGTGGCGCAGTCGGTGCTGGGTAACAGTGACGCAGTCGGTGCTGGGTAACAGTGACGCAGTCGGTGCTGGGTAACAGTGACGCAGTCAGTGCTGGGTAACAGTGATACTATCAGTATTGGGTAACAGTGGCACAGTTGTCATTCGGTAACAATTCTGTCGGTGCTGGGTAACAGTGATAAGATCAGTATTGGTTAATTATATAATCTATAAAGTAATAAACTATACATGTACTTTTCATGAAGTGATGCCAACCTTTGCTGTTTTACAGAGAGCATTCTCCTCCTTTCAGCGGTAACATTAGCCCCAGTGAGTTGCTACAGAAATCCTCTACTGCTTTGGATGTACCACTGAATGAGGTGAGCCATGTTTCCCATAATACAGTGTGTCTATTACCCAGAATTCCCATCCTCTACAGTAAAATGAGGTGACTCTATGTGTGTGTATATAGAGCCGTTTGAGGACAAACTGAAGTTCAGGTGGGGACAGCATGGTGGTGAATTGCTTTGTTGAAGTTTTGAAATGATATTTTTTTTGATGTCCAGGTTCACAATGAAGAGCTGGTTCGATTGTCTCCTTCAGAGATTGAAAAGTTGGACACATCTTCTCACCATGATATCATTCCATCGTTCCCCATCTCAGATCTCCTGAGTAAGACTCTCACTTTCATCTCTTTTAATCTCTGTTTGTGCAATAGAATCCTCCATTGACAGATGACGTTATTATAAATGATCTTTGCTACTACCATGAAGCTGTCACACTGACGCACACATGCCCCATGCATTGCACGCGATCCCTCTCACAATGCACTACACGCACTAGAGATATCACAGTCAGTGCTGCAGCTGATCTCAAGTAGTTTTAAGGCTGTAAAAATAAAATATAGATAATTCACCATATAGACATTACTAGACAGACAAATGAGGCAGAAAAGAGCAGTTTAAATAAAAACAGAACAATAATGCGTTCAAAGAGAAATGCAGCATAAACAAAGCAACGATCTCTTTAATGTAGGAGACATTTCATTTATATAAAATTTAAAAAGCCACCATTTGAAAATGAAATAAATAAGAGCAAATATTAATTGCACTGTGTGTGACACTAGAGGAGTGAATTTAATAATATTAGAGTTCCTTTAGATAGTACTCTGGGATTAAAGGACTGTAGTATGAGAAGAATCCACTAGGGGTCACCATTTGCTCTATAGTGGCTAACGCTGAACCTTTATTGAATTTCACAGTAGCTGATAAATGTTAAAGGACAACAGTCGCCTCAAAGCTGTTATTTAATATAATAATCCTTTCACCGTTGTCCTCGAAGCATGACTTCGTTCTTGTTACAGCTGTTTAAATGACCGTTATTAACACCGGTTTCTCCTGATTAAATTACAATAGTAAACGTAAAGGCGAGGATGGACACATAAAGCAGGGAGTCGATGATTGGGGTTTAGCGTTGGGGAGGGCCCTATAAATCGTTCAGACTTTGGATTTTATTCAGTAACTGACATTCTTCCAGTGGATGGAGGTGGAGAGCAGGGAGACGATGGTCATTGAGTGAGATTAAATCGTTTTGCTGGGTGTATATGATGACCTTGAGAGAGAATGGCAGAGCGCAGTGTTACAGGGTCCTAGGCCACTAGTCAGGCTTTAATAATACCTTGCCATTGGAAGCCTGCAGGGGCCATGACACACTAAGCACAGGTGAATTTCTACTTACCTGTGCTAACTTTCCACTGACCAGCGAATACGACAATGACTAGTAACCAGTGTAAATTTAGAACCTGGTTAAAGTATAGTTCAATAAATAGCTTTTACTCTGTTAGATGGTCACAGTGGCATTGCGTGTTTAAATACCTCTGCCACCTGGTGCCATGGTACGGCATGAAGAAAGTCATGTGTCTGAAACAAATTTTTTTGCTAAACATTGTAAAACAGGGAGGGCTTAGATCTCTGGCATTGCCGGGATATAGAAATCTCTCGCACATTTATGTTTATTTCTGGTGAATTGATCCTTGTCTTCATTCTGATTGTGTCATTAGGTGAAGGCTCCGCACTGGACTTTGACCATGACACGGCCATGGCTGAGTTTGTGAACCTTTTTGAAGAGGATGGAGGTCTGGGAGACACCGAGGACCTCAGTGACCTACAATGGGCTCTATAGCAAAAAGGACAATAGGCTTTTTAAATACAAAAGGAAAAGTACTGTATTTTGTAAAGCGTTGCTATTTGAAATTTTGTATTTTTTTCTATCTGATAGTTGTGATTTGTTAAATACAATGTCAGCTGTACATTTTGGGGAAAGGAACGCCCAGCCCCCCCCTTACTACATACATATATATATATATTTATATTTATTATAGTCTAACGTTTCATATCTGCTCATTTTCGCAGGTTCAGGTGACCTGTTACCTTACTAAGTACATTAGGTTCAGATTTTTCTGGATTGTGATGTTTTGATCTGGAGTTTGTGTTTTTATGAGTTTTATTTACTAAAACATGCCAAACCAGAGAGAAGATGTGTTCATTTCAATATTCACTTTGCTTTACCTGGTTAATGAGGAACACGTTGGCAGGCGCCCCATGCTTGAGGAGCCCAGCCTGAAAGTGCCAATCTGCCCATGATCAGTTGCCCATATTTGAATATTTGCAGGAAAAACTCATGAAAGTTGACTGTCTCCCCTTAACTTTGAGGTACATATATAACTTAATGTTTTCTGCGTTAAATACATGAAACTATGCTATTTATTATTAAATCACTTCACCAGTTATTTGGCATTGTCAGACACTGCCCGGGCATCGAATATGTGGTCGCTGTGGGCCTTGCTTTCAGGCACCAGATTATAAAAAAATTATAGTTTGGTGATGCCGATCAGATCAATAAACTAGATCAAACATTCTCAATAGATTATTCGCTCATTATTACTCACTACATACAGAATTTCCCACAATCCTTTATGCTGTTACTCCGTCAGAACTGGTGCAGGACTCTAAACTCAGGAAGCCATACAAATGGTAAACTTTATTGGTTCTCTGAGGCATCACAGACAATGTGAGAAATGTGGCCAATCCTCGCTGCTTGTTACGGTTTCTTCCACTTCTTTAGACCCGGTAGCTGTGCTCCGCTCAGTGCTTCCTTAGATCTGATTCTACATAGATTTACGTCCCTTTGTTCTTGTCCTCCGTACTCTGCAGATCAGCTGTCAGCAGTCATGTTTTATTTTTCTGCATCTCTTGATCATTTTGTCTTGCTTTGCTGCCAAATCTGTTCCAATTTTCCTAAAATGTTAAAGGGACACTATAGTCACCTGAACAACTTTAGTTTAATTAAGCAGTTTTGGTGTATAGAACATGCCCCTGCAGCCTCACTGCTCAATCCTCTGCCATTTAGGAGTTAAATTCCTTTGTTTATGAACCCTAGCCACACCTCCCTGCATGTGACTTACACAGCCTTCTTCAACACTTCCTGTAAAGCGTCATCTAATGTTTATCCTTCCTTTATTGCAAGTTCTGTTTAATTTAGATTTTCTTATCCCCTGCTATGTTAATAGCTTGCTAGACCCTGCAAGAGTCTACTGTATGTGATTTAAAGTTAAATTTACAGAACAAGAGATAAATTATTTAAGATAAATTACATCTGATTGAAAGTGAAACCAGTTTTTTTCATGCAGGCTCTGTCAATCAGAGCCAGGGAAGGTGTGGCAAGGGCTGCATAAACAGAAACAAGTTAAGTGATTTAACTCCTAAATGGCAGTGCATTGAGCAGTAAAACCTGAGAAGCATGATATATACACTAAAACTGCTTCATTAAGCTAAAGTTGTTTAGGTGACCCTTTAACTCACGGCTGGAAACAAAACATTAATTTCTTTGGAACATTTCTCAGTCATATTATTTAATTCCTTTACAAATAACTCCAGTCCCACCAGCCCGGGTTCCTCAAAATAGCTTCCCAAACAGAGAGACACAAAGTGTGACCCTAGCCTTGTTTTAGAGCATTATCCAAGCCGAGAGCCGTCTAGTAAAGCAGAGGCTTTTGGGAGCATGCGGTGACTGGGTTCAGCAGATCGAGTTTTATACCAGATTCATTCCAGTTACAGCTTCTTCACAGTAAATTGTCAGAAATTAAACAGGGAATTTCAATTTATTTTTCCAGGGCTATTTGCTAAAGTGAGAATTCAAAATGAATTTCAAATTGCCAAACTGATAAAAATTTGGCTATGGTTTCAGTTTGGCTACTCCAAGAACCGTGACCACTTCTTTAAATTGGTAGGTTTTAGCAGTTTCACTTTTTATATAAGCTTGGGTGGGGTGGACCTGCAGGCAATAGTTATTTTAAGAAATACTATAGAGTTAAAAACATGTATGCCTAACGCTATAGTTACCTATTTAAATCACTCCCTCCCTCCTTGGGGTTCGAAGGCGACTTTTACTTATCTTTCAGCCCTAGATGCTCCTGCCTTCCGTCTCCTTGGCTGAGGTCATCAAGATTGATAAACTCGACCATCTTCGTTATCACTCCATGTACCATTAACACTTTTTGATAACTCCATGCACCATGACCACTGCATTATCCCTCAATGTATCATAACCACTGCATTATCCCTCAATGTATCATGACCACTGCATTATCACTCCATGTACCATGACCACTGCATTATCCCTCCATGTACCATGACCACTGCATTATCCCTCCTTGTACCATGACCACTGCATTATCCCTCCTTGTACCATGACCACTGCATTTATCCCTCCATGTGCCATGACCACTGCATTATCCCTCCATATACCATGACCACTGCATTATCCCTCCTTGTACCATGACCACTACATTATCCCACCATGTACCATGACCACTGCATTATCCCTCCATGTACCATGACCACTGCATTTATCCCTCCATGTACCATGACCACTGCATTATCACTCCTTGTACCATGACCACTGCATTATCCCTCCTTGTACCATGACCACTGCTTTTATCCCTCCATGTGCCATGACCACTGCATTATCCCTCCATATACCATGACCACTGCATTATCCCTCCTTGTACCATGACCACTACATTATCCCACCATGTACCATGACCACTGCATTATCCCTCCATGTACCATGACCACTGCATTTATCCCTCCATGTGCCATGACCACTGCATTATCCCTCCATATACCATGACCACTGCATTATCCCTCCTTGTACCATGACCACTACATTATCCCACCATGTACCATGACCACTGCATTATCCCTTCATGTACCATGACCACTGCATTTATCCCTCCTTGTACCATGACCACTGCATTATCACTCCTTGTACCATGACCACTGCATTATCCCTCCATGTGCCATGACCACTGCATTATCCCTCCTTGTACCATGACCACTGCATTTATCCCTCCATGTGCCATGACCACTGCATTATCCCTCCATATACCATGACCACTGCATTATCCCTCCTTGTACCATGACCACTACATTATCCCACCATGTACCATGACCACTGCATTATCCCTCCATGTACCATGACCACTGCATTATCCCTCCATGTACCATGACCACTGCATTTATCCCTCCATGTACCATGACCACTGCATTATCCCTCCATGTACCATGATCACTGCATTTTCACTCAATGTACCATGACCACTGCATTATCCCACCATGTACCATGATCACTGCATTTTCACTCAATGTACCATGACCACTGCATTTATCCCTCCATGTACCATGACCACTGCATTATCCCTCCATGTACTATGACCACTACATTGATTGGAAGAGGCTGTATGTGTTTTTCTTTGAAGCTCTGCACATACATTGATTAACCCCTTCATTGCTGAAAGTGTAACTCCACCCCAGGCAGTGTCAGTAGTTGGCCCAGAACGGTCAATTCTGTCCAACATAAGTGGGGTTTTAACATGTATTTATTTATTTTTAATGGGGGGTTTAGGGGACTACCTGAGAAAGGGTTACTCTAACAAAAACCACAGTTTTATGAAAACTCCCCTGTTTTTTAGTTGGAAGTAACCCTTTATTTTTGAAATTTATTTTGAATTCACCAAAATACTCATTTTAGTAAACAAAACTTTGAAACCAGAGTTGTAACATTCGAAATTCTCTGGTCATTTCGTAGTTTATTGAATAACCTGCCTTAGTAAACGCTTGGATACTTTGTACCCTCTGCTCCAGCACGGGGCCATCCCTTCCTTATACCACGGTCATTGCACTAAATGTTGTTTCTGTTTCTGTGTTCCGTTCGTTTCACCAGGGCATTGCACAGTTTGTGAGTATATTTTGTCCATAAATTGCCAGTGGTTTGATTTTTCTCAATGCCGCTCTTACAATGTATGATCAGCTTTACTTTTTACTGTATGTCAGAACTGATTTAATATTCTCTCGTATGTTCTACATACAGTACTTATATGCTGCTACAGAATTTAGAATTTGAATGTATGAATATGTTTTCATTGTTATATTTACTTTAAAGACTGTATCGTGACTTTTTTTTTCTTTGTAATTTTACAATAAAGATTGTGAAGCAAAACAACTGCATCGATAAAGGTTGTTACAAAAGAACAAAAATATTCTTGGTATCTTACTGGTGTCTACATTATGAATACCTGGACTGTTTGGTGAATGAGTGCTGACTATATGTGTGCATGGTTTGTCAGTTAGTACATATGGCCAGTAGGTGTCGCCATTGCTTTAGGGATGTAGACTTGCCATGTTTCACATATTATATAACATTGTATTTCATAATAGATCATGTCTCAGATGGTCTTTATTTATTGATAATCTGTATTTGTTTGCGTCCTCTTTTACTCTGAGATAGTTATTTCAGATGTTAAAACCTGTCATTTTATTTAGATCTCAGACATTTACAGCATCACAAAGCAGAGAGCACAGAACAGGCTGTAAGGCTTAACTCTTCCAATTGGTCTACTATTAAAAGAGCTGAAACCGTTACTTTATTAGACACGGATTACAAATAAACATCTTATAGCTCCCTGATCAGTTACAGATCTGATACCCAGACAAAGGCAGAATGGAAAACAAAGCGAATGTTCTAGTGAATTAATGTTAGATAATAATGAGATCGGTAAACAAAGATCTGAATACGGTTTATTTTTTCTTGTTTTCTTTCTGTAATTTTACATTTGTTTTACTATAAATTGAAGAAGGCCGTCTGTATAAGGAGGGTTGGAGCCACGAGTACCATGACTGAAGTTCCATTGACGTACTATAGTTAAAGTGGGTGAGGGAGAAGCTGGTTCTATTTGCAGGTTCATTGCAAAGAGCCGTTTATTTCAGTGTCTTGTTACCCGAAGCAAGGAAGTGATTATTCTTGAGATGGGGACCCCCGCTGTGTTTCCCATGTTAAGCCCACTCATTAGCAGCAGAAAGGGTGCCATATCTTACTCCATAGCAGACAGAACCCTCGCTGAGAAGCTTCATGTCCAATCAGTCTTTATTCCTCTGCAGTTAAAGCCCGTCTGGACATGGAGAGATTGTGGCATGTGTTAGATTGTAAAAATAAATGTAACATTAGTACTGAGGAAGGGCTTGTTGCCCGAAACATTTGTTTATTTTGTGTCCTCTAATAAATTGCAGTAGCACCTGGGTGTGCACTATCTACTTGATGTGCAGAACTCCATTTTTTTTCTATCTGCTTGTTACACTGTAAGGAGACCATGCAGCTCGGATTACACCATAACCTTATAACTGCAGTTATAATACACTGTGCGCGGGAAGACAGGGGACCTCCTTACACCATAACCTTATAACTGCAGTTATAATACACTGTGTGCGGGGAGACAGGGGACCTCCTTACACTATAACCTTATAGCTGCAGTTATAATACACCGTGTGCATGGAGACAGGGCACCTCCTTACACCATAACCTTATAGCTGCAGTTATAATACACCGTGTGCGGGGAGACAGGGGTTCTCCTTACACCATAACCTTATAGCTGCAGTTATAATACACTGTGTGCGGGGAGACAGGGGACCTCCTTACACCATAACCTTATAGCTGCAGTTATAATACACTGTGTGCGGGAAGACAGGCGATTTTGAGTTATGTTGAGCAGAAAGTCCTTTTAATGTTAGGTTTCAGACTTTCTGACTGAGTGCAGTTAAACCATTTCACTATTTTCCTCTCGTTTCTAACATTCGTTTTTATTCAGTCACCAAGCAAACAAACCATAATTTGCTATCGCAGCATTAACTCAGACTCTGTCATCTTGACTGCCATTGTCTGGGAAGCCAGGTGTGCGCAGGAGGGTGGGGTTTACGAATGGAAACTGCTTGGCATATCATGAAACGTCTGGAGTATTAAATGATGTAGTAATTATAGCCCTGACAATGTGTAATCACTAGCATGCCAACCGTACCCTGGGCTACATTCATCAAACTGAAACGACCAGATCAGACTCTCCAGAACGACTTCCACTGCTCACACAATTCTTTGGGTTATTTTCTGCACCCCGATATTCATTATTCACAAAATATTCCGCTATAATCTGGTTTATCACAGAAAGCAAAGTAAACCTTGATCTGCCGCGACACAATTAGAAATATATATTAAAAATGTTGAAGTAGCGTTTTAATTTGCTGGCAATTAACCCGTTTTTTTTGGAAGTGCTAATTATTACAATTATTCATATAGCACCAATGTATTCTGCAGTGCTGTACAATATATAAATAAGACAAACATTGAATTATAACCAAACACGTATGATGTACGGAAACAGTTGGAGAAGAGGGACGTGCCGAAGTGAGCTTACAATCTAGGGGCTAACATTACGGCACAGATGCACCCTGTGTCCAGCGCTCAATGGTTAATTATTAACGGAGAGCATGCGGAAGCACTGGGTATATGTAATTAAACTTTCCTAGGAAGCCTTACAGGGTAAACACACCCAGATGGAGGCGAAGTGGACATTGACACCATGGCAAGATTCAGCTAAATCTCCCACGTTCTGCAAACTTTATCATGATTTATTGATACTGGTGTGATGGCGTTTAGAACTTCTGGAGAACTTTAAAAAAAAAAAATATGCTGTAAAACGTGTCATGAAAATATTTTGTCTACTGAGAGTAACCCAACCCTTATCTGAGGGAATTACTGGCCCAATCACTTCACGGATACTTAGATTGTATACAATGATCATAGATTGTAAGCTCCTTTGAGCAAAGCCTTCGTCACCTTGTCTCGGTTATTATTTTGCACGTCAATGACTTGTCAGATATCCACATTCTATAATTGTAAAGTGCTACAGACTATGTTGGCGATATATAAATGATAATAATAGATGCCCCGCCCCCCCACATTGATCTCTTTCTAAAATGTCTGTTAAAACAAACACATAGATTGAGATAACATTTATAGCAGAGATTACTCACTGAGTGACAAAATGTTGAGAACTGATGTGGAAATGGCAAATTTAAGTAAAAAAACTGTGAAATAGAAAAACAGCTGTATTGGAAAATGTGTCACAATTTGTAGTTTATTGAATAAGCCCCACTGGCCCCGTGATTGGGCTAAACTTCAGAATGTTATATTAACAACTTTTACCTCCAAACATTTTGTCTCTCATAAAAAAATAATAACCAAGGATTACCCTTTCTAGCACTAAAAGTGGAGCAGTCGTCATGGAAACCAATGGATTTTTCCTACTGATTGCTCCACTTTTAGTGCCACAGAATCTCTCCATCTATATCCAGCTCTTTAATAGTAAAAAAACCCGGCCGTTATCTTATAAATAAATCAGAAGCTCGCGCTCCGTTGTGGAGGGAGAAGAGACTCAGGGTGTGTGACCACGTAGCCACGTTTTAGTGGGACATGGAATCAGAGTGTTTTCCTGCTGAGGGTGATCACATAGCCACGTTTTAGTGGGACATGGAATCGAGGTGTTTTCCTGCTGAGGGTGATCACATAGCATGTTTCAGTGGGACATGGAATTGGGGTGGTTTCCTGCTGAGGATGACCACGTAGCCACGTTTTAGTGGAACATGGAATCGGGGTGTTTTCCTGCTGAGGGTGATCACATAGCCACGTTTTAGTGGGACATGGAATCGGGGTGTTTTCCGAGGGTGATCACATAGCCATGTTTCAGTGGGACATGGAATTGAGGTGGTTTCCTGCCGAGGGTGACCACATAGCCACGTTTTAGTGGGACATGGAATCGGGGTGTTTTCCTGCTGAGGGTGACCATGTAGCCACGTTTCAGTGGGACATGGAATTGTGGTGTTTTCTTGCCGAGGGTGACCATGTAGCCACGTTTCAGTGGGACATGGAGTCGGGGTGTATTCCTGCCGAGGGTGACCATGTAGCCACGTTTTAGTGGGACATGGAGCAGTGTCTGGAGCAGGGCTTGCTCTGTGAGCTCTGAGCTGTCACGATGCCAACAATAATTTTTGGACAAATACAATAAAGAGAAAGTATTCTTTATTTGTTGAATTTCTTCAGATATGAATAAAAATGGATTGCGTAATTAAACGTTGTGGCGAAACCGACCTCGCCACTGGGCATTGGAGAAGACTGATTGCCAGCCTCCTGCCAATCAGTCAGGGGGATATTGCCTAAATGGTCACAATAGATCGAATGATAGAGTAGGGCATATAATGTATATATGTGGACATACTGTGGAGTTACTGGGTGGCTACCATTTCCTGTATCAGAAGCACATGGTGAGAACAATGGATGGCGGCCATTATAACTCACAGACACTGTTTGGACTTTTCAACACGGTGCCATCTCGCCAGTATTTGGTGCACAGAGACATCGTGCAGTGGTTTTGGACTATACAGCAGGGGACACATTATACAGTGATTGTTTTTTATTTAGCCTGTATATGTTCTGCAGAATCTGCATTAAACTGTATTTTCCAAAGTACTGAACGGATCTAGGTGAATTTTGGATATGTGGTTCACCCAGATCCCCCAGTTCCAAGGATATTTTTATGGGGTTATTGCATGTTTTGGGGTCCCTGTGATGTGTTTTATAATACTGTATTTCTCTGCCTGTGATAATTAGATTAACCATTGTGTTCAGTAATCATATCACAGGCAGAGGGGAGGATTTTGTGTGGGAGTGTCTGTGTGTATTGTGCGGATTGATTGGCTGTTTTCAAAACCCTGTGGGCAGTACTATGTTTGTGGATTGGGAATAAAAGAGGCTGTATGTGCCAGTACAGTCAGTTCTGCTTGACCTCAAAACGAAGTGTCGTCTCGTTATTGGGGGAATTGGATTGTATGCTGATTGCCAGGAGTGTAAGCTGATTGTATGCTTTTCCTGTTCAGCTGCTTACAGCATTCATATGCTTGAGAGCATTCGTATGCTTCTCCGGTTCGGTGGTTGTGGTGTCTGCTGCAGTGCTTGGAGTCCTCAGGAAGCGCTAGGAGCATCCTTCAACGGAGGTACCCAGTCGGGATCCCAGGTGATCCGTTACATTGGTGGCAAGCGGTGGGATGGTGTCCTAGTGCGAGGAGAAGCAGCTCGGAGACACTGGTAACGTTTGGAGTTACAAATTAAGGGCAACGCTAGTATCCGTACAGAGCCCATGGCTACAGCAGTATGGAATCGGCTAGTTTTCGTACAGCATTCCATGATGAGGAGGAGGAGGCGGCTGCGGACTACAGGGATGCAGACAGAAAGGAACTCTGGTATGATGCCCTGGAAGATGTCCAGTGGCAGCGAGGTGAGAGTCTCCCCAGTGATGAGCAGCGGCTACAGAAGCGTGTGGCGATGCGAATGTATCTATTGGGAGAGCAGCCCCTGGATGAGTGGGTGACAAGACTAGAGACCCTGGTATGGTTAAAGATCTGGCTAGACAACGCATACCAGGCCCTCTGGTGGCATACCGTTCGACTTACCCCCTCGACGGCCGAGCTTGACTTACCGGAGGGGGATGATTATGATGGCCCGGGTTTATTATGGGATGCCTTGTGTAGCGGAGAGCTGGTATTACACAGCCTATCTCCACTTTGGATCCCAGGGAGGCTCAGGAACAAGTAATTATAAATCCATAGGGTAAAGTATCCAGCAGGCAAAATAACACAGCAGTATCCCAACAGCAATCCCAATAACTTGACGACACACAGTATCAGGAGCAGAACTAAAGATTTATTCAGACAGTGGCCTTATAAAGCCTGCTCCCATGCAAGGGAGGGATTTCCATTAATTTGTACAGTAGCCAATCCTGTTCTGGTAACCTCCCACACATCTCCTCCCCTCAGCCTGCATCATAATCCCCTTACCCAGGACACCAATTCCCCCCGTTTCTGGATGTACCCCTAAACCTAGGGGTACCACTTTAAATTATACATCCCCTGGTAGCCCTGACATGGGTGAACAACATATCCAAAAATCACCCAGATCAGACTAGGGGTTCGGGAAATTTATGGAGGGAATAAAATGACCGACCGCGCTGGAAAGAACAGCCGAATGGGGTTCCATTCGATGGGGCCCTGC